GGCGGTCTCGCCCGCCGAGGCCCCGCTCAGGAGCCGTCCGCCTGGCAGGGCCGCGTCGGCGCGGCCGATCCCGGGGCCCAGCCTGCCCGCGCCCAGCTCGCCCGCCAGCCAGTCGCGCACGCCAGCGAGCGGCGCGCCGGGCGCCGCCCGCACCCGGCAGCGCTCCACCCCGCCCAGGGTCAGGAAGCGCACCTCGCCAGGAAGGGAACGGGTCACCCAGTGTCGCAGGCCTAGAGCCTCGAGGTTGACACCAACACCCACAAACCGGCGGCGTGCCGCCACCGAGGGAAGAAGAGCCCGAGCTCGGCGATGGTGGTAATATCCTGGCTTCCGAGGTGGCCGGCATGCTCCCCGACATGGGATCGCCTTCCCCCTTGTGGGGGCAAACCCTGCGTCCGCCAACGCCGAAACCTGGGATCGCCTTCCCCCCCTTGTGGAGGCAAACCCCCCTGCGTTGGAGTTGCTGCCCCTTTCCGGGCCCTTCGCCTCCGCAGGCCGTCCACGGGCCCCAGGGCTGTCAGACAACGACTCGGGAGGAAGGTCTGGTCCACGGGGGACGGCCCCGGGGCCCAGGGCCCGCTCCCCCTCGGGACCCGCTCCCTTCCGGCCGAGCACCGCGCCGCCGTCGAGCGACGCCTGCAGGAGCAGCGCCGCGCCGACGGTGCGCGGTGTACGTCAGCGCCCCGTCCAGCGCCGGCACGGCGCACGGGCCGCTGCGATTCGAGCCGAAGGCCACGGCCGTGCCGTCGCTCCTGAGCAGCACCGTGTGGAATTGTCTCGCGGCGACCTGCGTGTAGCTCAGGCCACCGTCCAGCGCCGGCACGGCGCACTGGCCCTCGAGATTCTGGCCGAAGGCCACGGCCGTGCCGTCGCTCCTGAGCAGCGCCGTGTGGAACCGTCCGGCGGCGACCTGCGTGTAGCTCAGGCCACCGTCCAGCGCCGGCACGGTGCACTGGCCGCGGATATTCGAGCCGAAGGCCACGGCCGTGCCGTCGCTCCTGAGCAGCACCGTGTGGGTGCCTCCCGCGGCGACCATCAGTGGGCGCGGTCGGGAGGCCCTGGGGCCCGCCGAGGGGTGCGCGCGCGGGCTCCTGGGAGCGCTCGGGGCTCCGGGGAGGGCCACGGCTCGAGCCGGGGCGGCAGGCGGGGACCTCCAACTTCGCGTGCCCGCGCCCCGCGATGCGCGACGCGCGGCTCTCGCCGGCAACCTCCGAGCGGCCATGGGGCTCCCTGGAGCCCAGATGCGTCGGTATCCGTGGACACCCTCTGGATCGCAAGCGCCAGGGCGCCCTCTGGATCGCAAGCGCCAGGGCGCCCATCCGTGGACGTGGACACCCTCTGTATCCGCGGACGTGTGTGTGTGTGTGTGGACGAGCGTGTGGACGAGCGCCGTGGACACCCTCTGCATCCGTGCACGTGGGATGGGCACCCTCTGGATCGCAAGCGCCAGGGCGCCCCTCCGTCGGCACGGCCGGGAGGTCCGAGGGCCCGCCGAGGGGGGCGCGCGAGCGGGCTGCTCGGGAGCGCTCGGTGCTCCGGGGAGGGCCGCGGCTGGAGGCGGAGCGGGGGCCTCCAGCTTCGCTCGAGTCGGGCCGGTGCCTCTAGAGGAGGAGCAGTCAAAAATCGTCCAAGAATAGTCTGGGGACGAGTTCTGGATCATTCTTGAGCATTTGTGGAGTACCCTGAGATCCGATGTCGTGATGTTTTCAATGCGGGGTCCCCAGAAGTCTCGACCCTTTCCTCGGGGCCGGTTTCTCATCCTGAGTCGTTTTTTGACGGTCCCGGGGCCCGGCGAGGGCCCCTCGAGGCCGAAAAATCCGCCGGCCCCCTTGTGGGGCCACCAGGCTGTAGGCACGTGATTCGCAGTTTCCTGTACCAGTCGTAGGTTGTAGTTTCCAGTGTTACAGTTCTGCTTCTTGCTGGTTACTGTAACTAGTTGACTTATTGCTGGTTACTGTAACTAGTTGATTGACCGCGCGAGGGGGGGGAAGGCCCAAACAGGATTTTTTAGTACCCCCTGGGCGCGTTGTCTGAATTGCTGGGGGGGCTCAAAATCGACACCCCTCACGCAGATCGGCGGGGTCAGGGTCCAAAAACATAAGGGATTTGCCACATTTCTGAAATTCGGTGCCACCCCTCACGCAGATCCGCGGGGTCAGGGTCCAAAAACACAAGGGATTTGCCACATTTTGAAATTCGGTGCCACCCCTCACGCAGATCCGCGGGGTCAGGGTCCAAAAACAGAAGGGATTTGCCACATTTCTGAAATTCGGTGCCACCCCTCACGCAGATCCGCGGGGTCAGGGTCCAAAAACACAAGGGATTTGCCACATTTCTGAAATTCGGTGCCACCCCTCACGCAGATCCGCGGGGTCAGGGTCCAAAAACACATGGGATTTGCCACATTTCTGAAATTCGGTGCCACCCCTCACGCAGATCCGCGGGGTCAGGGTCCAAAAACACATGGGATTTGCCACATTTCTGAAATTCGGTGCCACCCCTCACGCAGATCCGCGGGGTCAGGGTCCAAAAACACAGGGGATTTGCCACATTTCTGAAATTCGGTGCCACCCCTCACGCAGATCCGCGGGGTCAGGGTCCAAAAACACAAGGGATTTGCCACATTTCTGAAATTCGGTGCCACCCCTCACGCAGATCCGCGGGGTCAGGGTCCAAAAACACAGGGGATTTGCCACATTTCTGAAATTCGGTGCCACCCCTCACGCAGATCCGCGGGGTCAGGGTCCAAAAACACAGGGGATTTGCCACATTTCTGAAATTCGGTGCCACCCCTCACGCAGATCCGCGGGGTCAGGGTCCAAAAACACAGGGGATTTGCCACATTTCTGAAATTCGGCGCCACCCCTTACGCAGATCCGCGGGGTCAGGGTCCAAAAACACAGGGGATTTGGCACATTTCTGAAATTCGGTGCCACCCTTCACGCACATCCATCGCAAGGCGTGGTAACCCAAACTGCGAGACCTCCCTCGGCCCTTTAATCGCAAGGTGTGGTAACCAAGCCCGTAAACCATACACGTCTTACCAATCGCCAGGTGTGGTAACCCCTCTTGTGATCAGTTGGTTTTGCTGATTGCGAATCGGCTTCGCATGAAGTTTCGATACTGCTTCACGACAGCTCCAAGGCCTCATGACTTAGCTCTTCCATGGCCCATTCTCCGAGAGAGAGGGGGACGGCGGCAGGGGGCGAAGCCCTTACGGAAAACAACAATCAGTATGTGGTTGTTCGCTCTTACTTGCCCACGTGTCATTCACAACGAGTTTCCCACACCCTCGATACCCGCCCTGTTTGTCTTCGATCACACCCCCTTTGGGGGGATTCTTTGTCTTTGCGGGGGGCGGCGGGCTTAGACAGGCGGGAAAATCTGAACGAGCGGACAACCCTTCGTGGGCGTACATGTGCCCGCCATTGGAATTGGTGTGGGCCCTGCAAAAAGAGGGGGGGAGAACGAGGGAGAATGGGAGGAAGGGAGGGGGAGGGACGAAGGAAGAGGGATAACGAAACGCCAGGAAAGAAGGAGCGAAGAGGGGGGCGGTTGATTAGAGACAGAGAGAGAGAGAGAGAGAAAGACAGATAAGAGAGGCAGATAAAGAGAGAGAGGGGCGAGAGAGAGAGAGAAAGAATGAAAGAAAGAAAGAGGGAGGGAGGAGGCAGGAGAGGGGAAGGAGAAGGGAGGAGGGAGAGGAGGGAGAGGGATAGGGCAGAGAGGCATAAGGAAGAGGGAAGAGAGGAGGGAGAGAGAAAGGAAAAGAGGAGGGAGGAAGGAGGAGGGAGAGGGAGGAGGAGCAGGAAGGGAAGAGCGTAAACGTTCGAGAAAGTCCTAGGCGAAAGCGGCGTTCCTGAAGGAAGTCTCGGGCGGGAGCCCACGACGGGCGGGCGATCCCCTGACGGGCGGGTCGGGCGGGTGGGACATTCAAGCGGGATGCCTGAGTATGGCGAGAGCGCGATTACTAAGTAAACTGTAACGGCGTCCTTGGCGCAGCGTGTTTCCTGATCGTCGAAAGCGCGATCTCTGAATAAATTGCATGGTAGTCACAGGCGAGAGAGCAATCCCTGAATAAGATGTAAAGGGTTCTCTGGCGGGAGCGGGGGTCTTGATTTGATTGCGAGGAAATTTTACTTCAATTGCGAGGAAGACTCAAGCGGGAACACCGTTCCTGCGCAAATTTGGAGGAAGTCTCAGACGGGAGCGGGGATCCGGCGGGAACACTGATCCTGAGTAAATTGTTATAAAGTCGCAGGAGCGGAGGTCCCGAGTAAATTTAAAGGAGTCTCAGGCGGGAGCCGATGTTGTTGTTGTAATCCGGGGGGCCAGGGGCTCAGCTTGAGCACCAAGACTTTTCCTGACAAAAAACCGGGTGCGAGCGTCAAGGGGCACAATTTGACTGAAAAACAATATGCACCGGTGAGGGGGGATCAACACTAATTATTCTCCAGAAATGAGGGTTCAACAACAACAACAATAACAACAACAAGAACATTAACCAGAACAAGAACAGCAACAGCAACAGCAACAGCAACAACAACAATAACAACAATAACAACAACAACAACAACAACAACAACAACAACAACAACAACAATTACTAGCACGTGGGGACACACCGTTCTCACCAGTGCCAGGGTTTTCATAGGAGGCGGGCAATACCCCCACTTTGTGGGGGGGCCGGTTCAAGCTCTACCAAATTTCCAAACGACTCTTCGCCACCACCCACACCCAGCTTCCCGCCCTATGACGTTCGGACACTTCACTTCGTGGCATGCGGACGACCGTGGCTACTATTCAGGGCCCCGCGGCCGACGACGACGGCGTGCGCGCGCGAAGAAAAAACGAATGTGTCCCGCATGGTATTATTTGACAGGGATGATGGCCCTGGCAGGTGCGCAACCGTTGTTGCAGAAGTTCGAAAAAGTTGCTCGCAAAAGCCCGTTTGACAGAAATGATTAAAAAGTGTTGGGTTTCCTACGAATCCGCAAGAGCGCGCGGGATGAAATTTTGACATTTTTTTTGAAAAACCATTGGTTTTTTTTTTGATGTTTTTATGTTAAAATCGCTACGAAAACTAAGGTTTTGGAAGGATTTCGTCTTGCGCGCGCGAATGTCCACTTTACCTTATTTTTTGCAAGGGATTCTTGAAGTTTGGTTATGTTAGAACAAGAAATGTCCACTTTAGCTTATTTTTTGCAAGGGAAAACCGATCGTAACAACACAACCGGATCCGGATGACATCGTTTTGCCTGAGACTTCCTCACGAAAATGATGAAAATGAGGCTGCGGCCTAGGCGCGGCGGGGGGGTCGCGCACCAGGGGCCCCAACAATAATTATTCTTTAGAAGAAATAATGTTCAACAACAACAACAACAACAACAACAACAACAATCATTTTACCCGAACGCGTGGTGTTCTCCCCAGTGCCAGGGTTTTCATACGACACCAGGCAATACCCCCACTTCGTGGGGGGGCATTACAAGCTCTACCAAATATCCAAACGACTCTTCGCGACCACCCAAACCCAGCTTCCCGCCCTATGACGTTGGGACACTTCACTTCGTGGCGTGCGGACGACCGTGGCTACTACACTGGCGTGGGGTACACACCCACAGAACCCAATGGTTTTTGGAGATTTCGGCGTGCGCGCGCGAAGAAAAAACGAATGTGTCCCGCATGGTATTATTTGACAGGGATGATGGCCCTGGCAGGTGCGCAACCGTTGTCGCAGAAGTTCGAAAAAGTTGCTCGCAAAAGCCCGTTTGACAGAAATGTTTAAAAAGTGTTGGGTTTCCTACGAATCCGCAAGAGCGCGCGGGATGAGATTTTGACATTTTTTTGTTGAAAAACCATTGGTTTTTTGATGTTTTTATGTTAAAATCGCTCCGAACACTAAGCTTTTGGAAGGATTTCGTCTTGCGCGCGCGAATGTCCACTTTACCTTATTTTTTGCAAGGGATTCTTGAAATTTGATTATATTAGAACAAGAAATGTCATTTTATAGCTGTTTTTTGCAAGGGAAAACGGATTACAACAAAACAACCGGATCTGGATCACATCGTTTTACCTGAGACTTCCTCACGAAAATGATGAAAATGTGGCTGCGGCCTAGGCGCGGCGGGGGGGGCGCGCACCAGGGGGCCCAACAATAATTATTCTTTAGAATTAATAATGTTCAACAACAACAACAACAACAACAACAACAATTACTAGCACGTGGGGACACTCCGTTCTCACCAGTGCCAGGGTTTTCATAGGAGGCGGGCAATACCCCCACTTTGTGGGGGGGCCGGTTCAAGCTCTACCAAATTTCCAAACGACTCTTCGCCACCACCCACACCCAGCTTCCCGCCCTATGACGTTCGGACACTTCACTTCGTGGCATGCGGACGACCGTGGCTACTATTCAGGGCCCCGCGGCCGACGACGACGGCGTGCGCGCGCGAAGAAAAAACGAATGTGTCCCGCATGGTATTATTTGACAGGGATGATGGCCCTGGCAGGTGCGCAACCGTTGTTGCAGAAGTTCGAAAAAGTTGCTCGCAAAAGCCCGTTTGACAGAAATGTTTAAAAAGTGTTGGGTTTCCTACGAATCCGCAAGAGCGCGCGGGATGAGATTTTGACAGTTTTTTGTTGAAAAACCATTGGTTTTTTGATGTTTTTATGTTAAAATCGCTGCGAACACTAAGGTTTTGGAAGGATTTCGTCTTGCGCGCGCGAATGTCCACTTTACCTTATTTTTTGCAAGGGATTCTTGAAATTTGATTATATTAGAACAAGAAATGTCATTTTCTATTGTTTTTTGCAAGGGAAAGCGGATTACAACAAAACAACCGGATCCTGTACACACCCTCTTTTCTGAGGCTTCCTCACGAAAATGATGAAAATGTAGCTGCGGCCTAGGCGGCGCAGGGGGGGCGCGCACCAGGGGGCCCAACAATAATTATTCTTTAGAATAAATAATGTTCAACAATAACAGCAGCAGCCGCAGCAACACACACACACAGGCACACACAAAAAAACAGTCATAGAAACAGCAAGGCAACAACAGCCACAACAACTGCAACAACAACACCATCGTCATCATGGCCAACAGCCATCATCCACATCATCATCATCATCATCATCAGCAGCAGCAGCAGCAGCATCAGCATCATCATCATCAGCAACAGCAGCAGCATCAGCATCAGCATCATCATCAGTATCAACATCATCAGCATCATCAGCATCCCCAGCATCATCAGCATCATCATCAGCAGCAGCATCAGCATCATCATCAGCAGCAGCAGCATCAGCATCACCAGCATCATCATCAGCATCATTATCATCATCATGGTCATCATCATCATCATCATCATCATCAGCATCATCATCATCAGCATCATCATCATCATCATCATCATCATCATCATCATCATCATCATCATCATCATCTCCATCACCAGCGCTGTCATCACCACAATCACTACTAGTCACTACCATCACCACCACCACCATCGTCGTTGTCTTCGTTATCGTCGTTGCCGACGTCGTCGTCGTCGCCGTCATCGTCGTCGCCGTCATCGTCGTCGTCACCACCACCACCACCCTCCTCCTCACCATCATCACCACCAGCATCGTCATTATTACCATCACATGTTGAAGACAATTGTTTGCAGGAAATGCCTGGCCTGTTCGAAGATGGGGAAGAGGAGGAGAGGGAGGAGCAGGAAGCAGAGGAAGGGGAGGAGGAGGAGGAGGAGGAGGATGAGGAGGAGGCGGAGGAGGAGAAGGAGGGGGAGGAGAGGGAGGAGGAGGAAGAGGAGGAATGAGGGGGAAGAGCAAGAGGACGGCGACGACGACGAGGACGAGGAGGAGAAAGAGGAGACCGTCCCTGCCCTCACCCTCTTGCCCTCGCCTCCCAGCCCTCCTTCCCCTCTATCTCCTTCCATCTGCCACCAAACCCCCCTCCCCCGCACCTCCCCCCCCGCGCCCCTCCCCCATCCCCTTGTCCCTCCCCCTCCGATTCCTTCTCTCCCCCCCCTCCCCCTGCCCCCTCGCCCCCCCATCCCCCTCCTGCCCCTCCACGTCCCCTCCAGCCCTCCCTCCCCCCCTCCCGTTTCCTCCGGCCTCTCCTCCCCTTCCCTTCCCTGCAACCCCCCATCCCTCCCGGTCCTCGCTGCCCACCCCCCCCCTCCTCGTGATGGTGGCTTCCGGGAGCGAGGCTCCGCCCTGCGAGCGGAGCTCCTCCTTCTCCTCCACCTCCACCTCTCCCTCCACCTCCTCCTCCTCCTCTCTCCTTCCCCTCTCCTCCACCTCCTCCTCCTCCTCCTCCTCCTCTCCTCCTCCTCCCTCCTCCTCACCTCCTCCTCCCTCCTCCTCCCCCCTTTCGCCCTCCTCCTCCACCTCATCCTCCTCCTCCTCCTCCTCCTCATCCTCTTCCTCCTCCTCCTCCTCGCCTCCTCCTCCTCCTCCGCCTCCTCCTTCTCCTCCTCCTCCTCGTCCTCCTCCTCCTCCTCCTCCTCCTCCTCCAACCACCGCCGCCACCGCCACAACCAGCGCCGCCGCCGCTGCAACCCGGACTCGACGACCGCCGCCTCTCCGTTTGTCCTCGGCACGACGACTGGCGCGCGGACCAGGCCCAGGTCGGGGCAGGGGCCGCCGACTGGTGGGCCCGTCTGGCATACGCAAAGGCATCTATACACCACCACCGTGCCAAGCTAGAACCATCCTGGCCCTGGCATGGTGTATACGCCCTCCTGGCCGAGGCCAGGAGGATCTATACACCATCCTAGGGCCCAGGATGGCCCTGGCCTGGCACGGGGGTGGTGTGTAGATGCCTTTGTCGGATAGCAGCGTCATACAACAGATCCTCCCACGTCCAACTAAAGCAGCACACTGGTCCGCAAAGGGTCGCCCCAGCCGTCCCCCGGGTCCTGCGCCGTCGTCCGACATCCCCTCGTCGAGGACCTCGGTCGCGGGCCGCTAAGAGAAAGAGAGAAGAGAGAGAGAGAGAGAGAGACAGGTAGTCAAAGAAGACGGAGATGGAGAGGGGGCGAGGGGGACACGCGGGAGGGTGGGAGGATGGAGGAGGAGAACCAGGACCAGGCAAGGGCCTGGGGACTGCGGAGCAAGAAAGGAACACAGGGAGGGGAGCAGAGAGCAAAGGAGCAGAAAGCTGAGAGTGGCCAGAAAAGCGGCAAGCAGGGAGGATCGGGGAACAGGGACGTGAGGGCGGAGCGGAGAGGCGAAGAGGCAGGAAGCAGGAAGCAGGAAGCAGGAAGCAGGAAGAGCAGATCACGGGAGGGAGAACGAGAGAAAGAGAGAGAGAGAGAGGAGAGACTCAGAGAGAAACGGCCCAGGACGACGTGGTGAGGAGGGGGACAGGAAACGTCAGCGAAGCTATCGAACAGCCTCCCGTCCCAGGTTCACTCCCAGCGCGTCCCTGCAGGCCCTCTTGTCTCCCTGCAAGAGAAGAGCTCCCCCATGGGAAGAGCGGCGCCCTGTGGGTCAGCCGTCGCGGGCGAGGGAGGGCCCCGGTTCCGAGAGCGTGGGGAAAGAGAGGCCAGCCAGCGCGAGCCCCGCACGGCGATTTCTCGCAGTCTCTGCGGCGGCATCTGGGCGGTGCGGTCCATGCGGTTCAGTCCGAGCAGTGCGGTCCATGTGGTACAATCTTGAAGGAAAAAGAACTATGCACAACGCCGACTCTGGCCAGGCCCATCCTGAGCCCAGGATCGGTGCATACGCCCTCCTACCTTGGCTAGGAAGGTATATGCACCGATCCTGGGTCAAGGATGGGCCTTGCCAGGATCGGTGCATGTGCATAGTTCCCTTCGCCCGAAATCTGTGCGGCGCAGAGCAGGGCAGAGCAACGCAGAGCAATGTACAGTATGGGTGACAGCATCCGAAACCTACCCCCACCGACGGTCAATTCCACTGAATCGATGGGAGCCAGGAGTAGGGTTCGGGTTTCGCCACATGCTCGACTAATTCCGAACCCTGCCCCCGCTGC